ACCCCGCCTCCTGTTGCCCAGCAACCAGGGCCATGGGGCAGTGGGCCCTCCAGCCACGAGCCGCTCCGGCGCTCACGGGAAGTTGCTCTAATATCACTTGGGAGTTCCTTCCGAGACGCAGGTCACCCATCGCCCTGGCACAGTGTGGCGGGAGCACTCCTACCATCTGCCGTGGCCTAGTGGCTGTGCGGGCGGTGGGGGCATGTGGCCATGCTGCCACCTCCCAGGCCGCCCTTCCCGGGCGTGAGGTGTGTGGGCACTGGGGGAGTTGGGGACCAGGGCCAGGCTCAGGAAGCTCCGGAGAGAACAGGGGTGCGGCCAGGACCTGGGGGCTGAACCGAGGACTGAGACCTCTTCCCGTGGCGGCCTTGGTGGCCTCCGTGGTCGAAGGGACGGGGGCTCTCCCCCATACAGCCGTGGCCACACGCAGCCCACACCCCTGTGCCTGCACATGCACATACGTGTGTGCACACTCGTCCAGGGCCGCGGGGCTGCCGCGTGTCCTCACCTCAAACACCCTCACGGCCCGGGACAGCACGGAGGGCTTGGCGCCCCTCAGGGAGAAGACCAGGTTCAGCACGGCCCTGCCCTCCTTCTCCTCGAAGGCCACAGCCTCCAGGGGGTCCCCGGGCTCCGAGGAGGCCGCCGCTGCGGCCGCCGCGGCCACCGCAGCCTCACGCTCCTTGCGGGCGTCCTCGATGAGGCTCTGTCGCCGGCCGATGAACCGTGGGGACTGCAGGGACAGGGACACACCCGTGTCTCCTCCGCCGTCCATCGCTGAGCACCTACTGTGTGCCTGCCAGGGCAGCACCTACTGTCTGCCTGCCGGGGCGGACGCCGACCACGGCCCCTGACTGCAGGCACCGCCCGACCCGTCCGTCCTGATGTGGGATAGCCTGGCCAGGGAAGATGCCGGAAGCCACCGCTGGAGAGTAGGGGTAGTGGGAGGGAGAGAGTCTGTCACCTCCCCCAGCACAGAGATGCTGTGTCTCCTGTCCCTAGGCATGGTCCTAACTGGATTAGTAACGGAAGAAGGACACTCAGGCCCGCACTTCTGGGGCCTGAACCCCGAGGTGGACAGCATGTCTGCTTTCCGGGGAGGGGGTGGCTGGCTCAGGCAGGGCTGCCCATGGAACTCGTGAGTGGCCTCCTTACCCAGCCCCCAGCCCGGCCTTCCCTCAGCCAGGACCCTTCCCCTGGACACAGGCGGGCTTCCCCACAAACATGCCTGTCCTCCGGGCTCTGCCCTCCTCACAGTCCCCGTGGTTCCCTCTTGCACTGCCCGGTCCTCCCTGTCTCCCGTCAGTGCTCCGGGCTGCCTCCCGGGAGCATGCAGCCAGTGCCGGCCACTCTCCCCAAGATGGGACCCCCTGGAGTCAGTGTATCTGACACCCCCAATGCCCAGACCCCACCCAGCCCTGGATGGAGGTTCAACCTTGGAGCTGAGGCTCAACCTTGGAGCTGCGTTTCCCGGAAGGTTCTGGGGACCGTGGTGAGAGAGACAAGCTCCGTCCCGGGCTTCCGGGGTCTGGGAACATGGGGCCGTGCAGCAGAAACCCCTCCAGGCCTGGGTCACCCTGGGGAGGGGTGTCTGGCAGGGACCTGGTGGGGAGGGGGCTCCGCACCCACCCTGGCGCCCTGAGGAGCTGCCCCGGCCATGTCTTCATTAAAGGTTCTCGAACAAAAGCTCATTTGGAATGCACCAGAGTGCTGGCGATTCCGGGTCTCAGAGCGAGCCAAATCCTCTCCCGGGGAATGAGAAGCCCCCGGCTGTCCAGCCTGGTGGAGGGGCTGCCCGTAGCCCACCCGATACAGCCCCGCATCCTGGGTCCCCAAAGGCCAGCGCACGGGGAACACAGACTCCATGGGAGAGCCAGAGCCGGAAGGCAGGGGCGGTGGGGTAAGTAGCCCTGGAGCTGGGCATCCCTTCACATGGCAGACCCTGGCCCCCCTCATTTTCTCAGGACCCCCACCATGAGCTGCTGCTGGACTCAGGGGGCCTGGGGGCTTCCTCTCTGAGCAAGAGGCTAGCGAGAGAGCTGACCCGGACCGCTGGGACAGATGGAAGGCAGGTGGAACGGGTGGGCAGAGAGTAGGGGCCAGGGAACCTCTGGTCATCTGTGCCCCTGGACGTGCTGGCTCACCAGGGCTCCCCCCAAGAAAGATTTTTCTTCAGATTCCCATCCCCAAATGTCAAGATGGAACAGGACAGAGACCAACACCCCCAAGAGGGGCCGGCGGCCCAGGGCAGGCACCACCTCCCGCAGACTTCGAGTCTGGCAGGACATACCCACAGGGATTCTGACCCAGGCTCAAGGGACGCCCTCGGGGCCCAGGACGGCACACCAGGGGTCGGTGTGGACCCCGGGCTTGGGGCGGCCAGCCAGTCTGGCGGGGGATGGCTGAGACAGCTGGGGCCAGCCCCAAGCTTGGGGTCCACTCGGACCTCCGGGTGTCGGCGGGCCCTCTTACCATGATGGCCTCGGCCTGCTTGGCGTCCAGCTCGGACACGGCCCTGCGGAAGCCCTTGGCCTGCGGCGTGGCGGCATTCGGGGTGGGCATGGTGCGATGTGGAGGTCGGCTCCGTCTCCCCAGCCCTCGGCCGGCGGCCTCTTATAGGCTGAGCTGACGTCAGAGCCCCCTCTGGGTCCCCCACCTC